TTGAGTTCTTTATAGGTTCTGGATATTAGCCCTTTGTCAGATGAATAGGTTGCAAAAATTTTCTCCCATTCTGTAGGTTTACTGTTCACTCTGATGGCAGTTTCTTTTGCTGCACAGAAGCTGTTTAGTTTAATTAGATCCCATTTGTCAATTTTGGCTTTTGTTGCTGTTGCTTTTGGTGTTTTAGACACGAAGTCCTTGCCCATGCCTATATCTTGAATGGTATTACCTAGGTTTTCTTCTAGGGTTTTTATGGTTTTAGGTCTAACATTTAAGTCTCTAATCCATCTTGAATTAATTTTCATATAAGGAGTAAGGAAAGGATCCAGTTTCAGCTTTCTACTTATGGCTAGCCAATTTTCCCAGCACCATTTATTAAACAGGGAATCCTTTCCTCATTTCTTGTTTTTGTCAGGTTTGTCAAAGATCAGATGGCTGTAGATTGCTCTGTTCTGTTCCATTGGTCTATATCTCTGTTTTGGTACCAGTACCATGCTGTTTTGGTTACTGCAGCCTTGTAGTATAGTTTGAAGTCAGGTAGCATGATGCCTCCAGCTTTGTTCTTTTGGCTTAGGATTTTGGCAATGCGGGGTCTTTTTTGGTTCCATATGAACTTTAAAGCACTTTTTTCCAATTCTGTGAAGAAAGTCATTGGTAGCTTAATGGGGATGGCACTGATTCTATACATTACCTTGGGCAGTATGGCCATTTTCACAATATTGATTTTTCCTATCCATGAGCACTGTATGTTCTTCCATTTGTGTCCTCTTTTATTTCACTGAGCAGTGGTTTGTAGTTCTCCTTGAAGAGGTCCTTTACATCTCTTGTAAGTTGGATTCCTAGGTATTTTATTCTCTTTGAAGCTATTGTGAATGGGAGTTCATTCATGATTTGGCTCTCTGTTTGTCTGTTACTGGTGTATAAGAATGCTTGTGATTTTTGCATATTGATTTTGTATCCTGAGACTTTGCTAAAGTTGCTTACCAGCTTAAGGAGATTTTGGGCTGAGACAATGGGGTTTTCTAAATATACAATCATGTCATCTGCAAACAGGGACAATTTGACTCCTTCTTTTCCTAACTGAATATCCTTTATTTCTTTCTCTTGCCTGATTGCCCTAGCCAGAACTTCCAACACTATGTTGAACAGGAGTGGTGAGAGAGCCATTTTTTTTAGTATTATGAATAATGCCTCTGAGAAGATTCATGTACAAGTCTTTGTGTGGACATATGCTTTTATTTCTCATGGATTGATACCAAAGGGTGAAAATTCTAGGTTGAATGGTCAGCATAGGTTTAACTTCTTAAGAAAATGGCAAAATGTTTGCCAAAGTAGCTGTACCTTTTTGTGTTCCCACCAGCAATGTATGGCTGTTCTGGTTGTTCCACATCCTCATCAATACTTGGTATTGTCAGTATTTTTCATTTTAGCTATCCTATCATTTGTTTTAATAGTCTAGTTAATTCACTTTGATTTTCTAAATATATAATATCCTATGTAAGTAGTAATAATTCTTTTTCTTACTGCCCTGTTCTAGAACCTCTAAACCACTAGAAAATAATATCAATAATTACAGACATCCTTGACTTGATTTTTTTAACAATTACACTACTAATATTTTATTGTTAGGATCTTACTGTATTTGCAGTTAGTCACATTAGGAAATATCCTATTTTTAGTAAGAGAGTTTTTTTTTAATCACATGATACTGAGTTTTTATCAAGTGTAATTCAGCATCTAAAAAATCAAATGTTTTTTCTACTTTGGTTTCCTGATGCAATGAACTAAATTAATACATTTCCTAATGTTGAATCATCCTTATCTTTGTGAAACAAACTCTAATCGGGGTTTGTTTTGATATACGGCGTGGGTTTCTTCTGTTACATGACTATTTGGTTCTATGGGATATGTTAGTAATTATTTCTAGGGGAAAATAAAAACGTTAATCCTCAATTTCTTCATATGTAAAATAGGGATAAAATACATAGAGATACAGAGAAAGATGGGTAAAGGAACTGTTAGGAAGATTGAATGAGATAATGCCCATAGCTGCTCAATAAGTGAAGGAAGTAAAGGTTTCAATCCAGGTCAGTATCATCCTTGAGACCACTATCCTCTGTTTTATCTGTTATTAAGAGAAGGCTATCCATTGAGATGGACTCTTGCTCTGTCAGCCAGGCTGGAATGCAGTTGCATGATCTCGGCTCACTGCAACCTCCTCCTCTCGGGTTCAAGTGAGTCTCCTGCCTCAGTCTCCTGAGTGGCTGGGATTACAGGAACCCACCACCAGTCTGGCTAATTTTTTTGTATTTTTAGTAGATATGGGGTTTCATTATGTTGGCCAGGCTGGTTTCAAACTCCTGAGCTCAAGTGATCTGCCTGCCTCGGCCTCCTAATGTGCTAGGATTATAGGCGTGAGCCACCATGCCCGGCTGCTTTTTTTTTTTTTTTTTTTTTTTGAGACGGAGTCTCACTGCTGCCCCGGCTGGAGTACAGTGGCATGATCTTGGCTCACTGCAAGCTCCGCCTCCCGGGTTCACGCCATTCTGCTGCCTCAGCCTCCCAAGTAGCTGGGACTACAGGTGCTTGCCACCACGGCTAACTTGTGTTTGTATTTTTTTAGTAGAGACAGGGTTTCACCATGTTAGTCAGGATGGTCTCAATCTCCTGACCTCATGATCCACCCGCCTTGGCCTCCCAAAGTGCTGGAATTATAGGCGTGAGCCACCAAGTCCGGCCGCCTGACTGCTTTTTAACAATCTTTTTATAACAATTTAACAAACTAGTAATTTAGTAAAGCTAAAGATTTATGGTTTTTTAATGCTGAAATGATGAATTCTCCTCCTTAAAGAACGAAAAGTAATTATTCAAATCTGGACAAGAAGAAGTTAGCCTACCTGAGTATGACTGATTGTTATATGGTTGCCATGAAGAGGTGACTGGCGATCTTTCTCCTTACTGTGACGACTACTCTGTTTACTGCGTTGTAGCTGCTGTCTCAGTTTGGCAATCTGCTTTGGGGGCAGGGAAAGAGAAGCAAGAAGAGAATAAAAGTGAATACCAAATTTTTATATTTATTTCTTCAGTTTTGGGGTATTGATTAAAAAAATTTCAAGTTTCTAAGAAGAGACAGTATTTCACCACAATGATTTACCCTTGAAAGTTTTTAGGATTAAGATTATTAAAAATGAGAAATAAATATATACTACAAATGCTTCACTTTTACAAATTTTAATAGTGTTATTGGTAAATACGCTAACTACATTTACCCAGATTATTTCAGATTTTACCTTTGTAACACCAGAAATATCTTCCTATTTGAAAACCTTTTATAAGATGAAAAATAGTATTTCAAATGCCTACTGATTAAAATTAAACCTGAATTCTAAACATAGGCACATTAGTTTCTAAGTTCCTGTCTTACATAAACAAAATGGATCTGGTTTATCAATTACTAAACACTTTAAAATTGTAAATCCCCTGATGTTGTGGAGAATCAAAGCTATTTAGTATTAGTAAATTATTAATATATTACTATATATATTGCTCTTCAATCACAAAACCTATAAAAACAAATATAATTTAGGGTATATTCTCCTAAAAGGAAGGTTTACACTTCCCTGGTTTCACAGAAAAGTCATTACTATAATATGACCTGGAATTCATTAAACTACTTACATATTTTAGGTGATGTAAAAAAATTTCTGAGTATTTTAAAGGAAACCATTAACAATTTGGGGGAAGTCATTTAATATTGGTATTATTTTCCTTGTAGAAAAGATGATGTTAATCAATTAATAATTATTCCCTGAACATCTACGATGAGCCCAGAGAGATACAACAAAGATACAATGTATTACAAAATTATCTAAATATTTACCTTGAATAACCATGGCAATATAAAGCACAATAGAAAATTACTATTAAAGCCTATAAATGCTCAAGGGTAAAAGTATACAGGTTGCTGAGAAAACTAATGTTTACCTGTGGTTAACAGTAGAAGAGAAAACCATATAGAAGAAAATGAAGCACCCAAACAAGGAAGAATTTATATCCTTTCTTTTATGCTGAGATCTTTAGATCCCTTTAAGTTTTTTAAAGCTCTATGTAGCTTATGGATCTCTCATAAAATGTGCTTGCAAAAGATGTACAAATAAGATTATGTTAATATTTGTGTTCCTTCCTCTCTGTTGAACTGACATAATTTTCTTGCAGAGAACATTAATTTTCATAAGAAAATGATCAAAATTTGTAGGTAATTAATATAAATCAAGACCGATAATTCTCTATGATAAAAAAGAAATAGGATTTCAAATTGTACAATTCATTTAATTAGGACAGAGGTATAAAAGCAAAACCAGAAAAGCTTATATGAAAGAGCTCAGAATGCCTATAGATTAATAATATAATTTGTACTTGCTCATTTAAAAAATATTTAAAAACCTTAAAATTGATAAATATTAGTCAACCTATTTTTTCAAGGCTTCTGAGATGTCAAAATAAGCCAGAAAAGTTTTGTTCTAAGCCGACTTAACAAACCCTTGAAGATGAAAAGCCTACATCATGCTACAAACCTTACTTCACTTAGATTACCAACCTAAATAATACAATCCTATAGCTTTTCACAGGTACTGTGAATTCCAAAGACAGACCTTCTTTGGGACATAACATAGTTATGCTCGTGTTTACAATTCAGTGGGAATTAGGATAAAAGTCCATCTTCCTAAATATATATTATATACTTGGCATATTTCAAATTCTAGTCAAGAAGTATGTGAGAAGCCTTCTTTCAACTTGAAACAGGTCCCAATTACACTAGCTCCAAGGTTTTAAAAAGTCAGGGAATAAGTCAGCTGGGTGCAGTGGCTCACACCTGTAATCCCAGCACTCTGAGAGGCCAAGGTGGGTGGATCAGGAGTTCAAGACCAGCCTGGCCAACATGATGAAATCCTGTCTCTGCTAAAAAAAAAATACAAAAATTAGCCAGACGTGGTGGTGTGGGCCTGTAATCCCAGCTACTTGGGAGACTGAAGCAAAAGAATTGCTTGAACCTGGGAGGGGGAGGTTGCAGTGAGCCAAGATCCCAACACTGCACTCCAACCTGGCCAACAGCGCGAGACTCTGTCTCAAAAAAAGAAAAAAAAAAAACCATGAAAAAGTTAGGAAACACGTGATCCTGGGTCACAAGGAATAAATAATAACTATATAGAGAGAAATTAGCATAGTCACAAAGAAAAGATTAAAGCATTTATGAAATTAAATGAAGAAAAACCAGAAACTGGCCTTACTTAACATCTGAGAACCAGAAACACATTTTTTGAAAACTTAGTAACATCAGCTCTGTTTACTTGCTATTTTTGTCCTGTTTATTTCCCCCACTACTGTTAACATTTTAAAAAATAAATAAATAAATAATGCAAAACCAAAACCCTCATCCTCAAAAGACTGGTTGAGCACTTTTGCCTCAAGGACTGAAGAAGACAGAAATCTTTCTCAGAAAGAATTATATTCCACCATAGAGCAGGGAAATGGGAAATCTTAACTTAAAAGGATTAAGTGATGGCAGTGAGAAAGGAAGCAGGATTTGGGGGCTTTGGGAAGAGAAGAAAAAAAGAAGGGAGCTAGCCTAAAACCAGGAAAAATGTTATAGGTTATCACTAGCAAGAGACCTGGTGTCCTCAGTTCATCCTTCTTATCCACAGGTACCACTGCACCATGATACCAGCACAACCATCATAGGTAGCTGGAAAGAGAAGTAATCCTTATTTCTAGTGTTAGGACAATGTGGGAAGTGTGCCACTGCTACCCTAAGACAGACCACTAAACAATATTTGCTATAGAAAGACCACCCATTACATACAGTGGTTAAGGTCTCTCTATCGCACTACTATAGGTTGGTTTATAAACCAAGATTCCACAGAACAGTGTTTCAGTGGGAAAAATACATCCTGGGTATGAGACATCTAACTGATAACCAAACTTTTAAGACATAACCAACTCAAAACTAGGAAATTAATCTTGGAAGTTAGCTCCCCACAACTTAAGAACAACCTTTTGAAAAGAGAAAATCCAATACATAAACTATAATAATTTGTATTCAATAGTTAGAAACTCTGAATATTTAAAGATAACCTGCCCTAGGGTGCCATCTTTGGTTTGCGGTTTGAGTGTTAAGCAAGCATTAAGGCACCAGACTGAGGGGTAAATTCAGGCCAGACCAAGCTCTACTCAGCAAGCTGTAGCCTTAGCAGAATACTCAGGCTACCTGAGAGAAGACTTTTCCTTCACTAAAAGACACTGCCCTTAAAAAAAAAAAAATCTTATGCTAGTGGGGCTGCATCTACTTCGAGGGAGTGTTTTTATCTAATTCACACAAAGGTGACCTATAGGGTAGCACCTGTCCAGAACATGGTGACTAAAGCTAAAATCCTATTTAACAGGAACCAAAAGTAATAACTAAAATTCTTTTCATCTTTGAAAACGAAGGCAGAGAGACCATTAGAATAAAAAGGCAGACCATATACTGGGAAAAGATATTTACAACACGTATATCCAATGAAGAATTCATATCCACAATATGTAAAGAACACCTACAAAGCAATAAGAAAAAGTCTAAGAGTACGCAAAAGACTTGAACAGGTACTTAGCCAAAGAGAATATCCAAATGGTCAGTATGCATAAAAAAGGTGCTCGACATCATTCTAATGAGGGAAATATAAATTAACACCCATCATAATGTCGAAACTTAAAAGATGACAAAACCAAAAAATGAAAAAGACATCAAACAACTGGAACTCTCCTTCCACTGCTGGCGGTGAAGGGTGTTCTTTTATTTTAACATAGTAGCCTTGACCACAGAAGATTTTCTGGGGAAGTGCTTATATCCTCAATACTAGGTCACTCAAGGTAATAGATCAAGAGCAGAAAGCAGAGACCTGACTCAAATTAGGCAAAAATTCTTAGTTCAGTTACCTGGATGGAGAAATGAATGACATGTCCAAGGCTGTAATTAGGTTCTAAGGTTCTTAGTAGGAAACAGTACTAACAGAGAGAGAATCACGCTGATTACTGAAGAGGGCTGGGGAGCTATGCTTCCTGCCTTGCATGGCAAAGAGGAATGAGCTATCGGAAAATAGAAGACCTCTGCAAACATACAACTATGATGTCTATTTCTGTTAATGACATTTCTAAGAATTAACAGACATTAGAACACACCCTCTTCATGTAAAGGGATATTCCTATAATAGAAATTCATCCTTTGCCAAATGCAGGTAATACAGTTTTAAACAAATTATAATTCAACATGCTGAAAATGCTCTGATGATGCACTTCTGCGTAATAACATATTCTTTCTAGCAATTATTAAGAGTAATTATAGGCCAGTTTGTCTGATGACTGTGTCAATTAACAATAGAAAAGCATCATTAAAATTTTCCTATCTAATTATTTATTGAGTACCAGCATTGTAGAAGGCACTCTGCTACTTGCTTTTATGTGAATGATCTCATTTATTTTTCAACAAAAGCACATGAGCTAGGTACTATTATTATTATTATTTTAGAGGTGAAGAAATACAGGTAGAAAGGTTAAAAAAAATCTTGCTAAAAGTCACACTATTAAGTGGTAAACAAGTGTTTGGACTCAGTAAGTGGAATTCCAGAGTCTGCTCTCTTCATCACCATTCTATACTGACTGGAGAATGAAGTTAACAACTCACAAGGAGATAAAGCTTTACAAAAATTACAGACAAATGGGAATGGAAAAGGTGACAAAGGCTGAACTGAGATAACTCCTTCCCCAAAACAATCACTGAAGATATTAACTCAAGTAATTTTTATGAAAATATAATTTGAAAAATCATGAATCTCAAGCTGTTATTCTCTTCTTTATAAAATGGGAAATATATGACAAACTTTAATGCTTTTAAAGATCACGTATCCCAAAAGAAAGGTCTATAGACTAGTTAAAAGCAAATTTTATATATTATATCCCTCAACACATAAATTTTATGTAC